CTTTCTTTCGCCCTAACTATCTCCACTATCACAGAAGCTACATACTTCTTACATATTGCTTTGGATAGTCCGAGAGTAGCTCCTTCGTTTGACACGTAGAAACATGGCGTCATTGCACGCACATCGTTGTGACACGATTGCATTTCTAGTTATTATTATTATTATTCGTATTATCATAATCATCATCATCATTATTTCTAATATTACTATCATTAAAATTATTATTATTAATGTATTATAATTCGGTTGTATTTACAAAAATATCAATATTACTATTTTATTATTGTAATTATTATTAAAAATGGGGAACTGGGAGAAGAAACCTTCGCTTTGAACTATTCTCCCTTGACAAATTCGTTAAAGCAGATCAGTTGAGGTGTTCAAAAGTAATCTAAAATCATTTATATTTGGATTGGAATATAATTAATCATTCCCTTTTATTTCATTTGTCAGTATTTGTATGAAATCCAAATGTTTTTATTTGATTTCTCCTTCGCAATGGCGCATTACAAATCGAATATTATCATCATCATCATCATTATTATTAATATTATTTGTATTATTGTCAATACTATAATTAATAACCTATTTCATTAATATTATTTTAATTCTTTTTCTATTAGATCAATTGTTATCATTATTGTCATCATTATTATTGTCATCATTATTATTATTATTTTTATTATTATCGTTATCGTTGATGATTGAAAATGAAACGATTGCAACCATGCACATAAGTTCAAGTAAGGCATCCCACAAATTCAAAATATAAAGAATCATGCACACATAAATGCACAAATAATAATGTTGTTTGGCAGATCTACACAACTGCATGAACAAAAATGGTGAAAGTGTCGCCATAGATAAATGGCATTGTCAGGTTTTTAAACCAAATATTTATTTTAAATATGCATGCAAACAATTATACAACTTGGAAGTTAACTTTTATATTAAGTATACTGGAGGATTTCAAATGATTTTCTCGTAGCCTATGATATAAATATAAAATCACCTGTACGGCTATATTTGGTTGCTGAATGAGGAGCATCCCACCATCGGCAACATCAGCACGACTGATTTGTTCCTCAAAAGCCTGGACAAATTTACTTATTGCCCCATCTTCTGCCTCTGCGGCTTCAAGTTCCTCTGTTTCTACCTGAGCTATATTGCTCACAATACTCGTTATAGAGTTTGTTACCTTTCAATTCAAACACAAAGGATGAAAATGGTTTATTCTATAGTAGGATAAATTTGCCAAATCTCGGAAATGAAACTGAATGACGATAGGATATTAAATAATTAAATAACATGAAAGCCTTAGCACAGCTGTTCTTTTAAAGTCGTTACACAACTTCTGGATGAAGCAACTGCCAAGGTGTCAACATGATATGAAAGGGTAGTGAGAGACCTACATCTGTCATAGAACGAATAAGATATTATACCAAAAAAAAAAAGTCTGATACGGGGCAAGGATTTAGTAAATTCTTAATTCACAGTAGTTTAGCTTTAAGGCGTCCATTATTATTAAATTCGATTATGATATTTACCGCTTTCACATCTATGGCAATTTAACACATGTACCAAAAGGAAGGCTCCAATTTGTTTACCATTAGATGATTATCAGAACAAAATAAAATAATTAAATTCATATTCATGTTCAATATAATTGGTCTGGCATCGTGCAGAATACCTCTTCACTAGTAAGATTTTGCTGCACAATGTTTGATGTTATTTCTGCCACAAACGTGATGTCATCTGATGTGATATCTTCGATGTTGGAAGTAACAGACGATACTTGCTGGCTCACTTTACCTGCGTTTTCTTCATCTACGATTACCTAAATTTGAGAGAAAAATATCATTGCAGCATGTTTATATTGAGTGATATGACTTTCTCTCCTTTACCCTAATGAAGCAGAGGTATTTCAAGGATTTCTAATATCGGGGGGGGGGGGGAGGGGGCATTATGACAGGGGCTGCTTGAGCAGGGGGCGATGGGGGGGGGGGGGCATTTCGTGACAAAATATTTAGAGGGGCATAAGCGGGGGGGGGGGTAATGAGCACCTTTTTGTTTTACTAAGTACCCCCTTTCCCCTTGAGGAAGAAAACAAAGGGAAGAAAAATGGAGAGGAAAATTGATACACATATTGAATTAGTATAATGAACATCATGGCAACAAAACTTTTTCATCATTTAGCTTCGTTCATTATTTTTCGCAAAATTTTCAAAACTTACCTACTTTGCAGTTTTACAGTATTAAAATGGTTGGGAAATAAGTTGTTTGGAATATTTAAACACTTCAACGGATGAAGTACATGGTTTGTTTAAAATTAAAATCAAGTAAAAAAACACATTAATTGTCATAATTATCAAATAATAATCGTCTTTTTAAAATGTTCTGGGTATAAAACATTACAAGTTTTCTATTGTTTTTTATGTAGGATGAACCAAGGATGGGTCTCACTTAGTGGAATAGGAGTGTAAACCTTCTTAACAATGACAAAGATCAAGTGATTTTGAAATGATTATTGATTCATCGACAGGCTAACACACTAGCAAATGGAGAAAATGCACATTTTGATTGACATATGATCAATAATTGTAAGTTGACACCCCTACCGTTGGTCCGAATTGCACAAATTTGGTATCAAAATGTGCGGGGGAATTGACAGAAAAGGAAAAAAACATGGATTTGAAAATTAAAGGGGTTAAGACGCAGCGCAAAACATTCTTACTCATTAGGGTTAAAGGGATCGTTTAACATTGTTAAATCTGAGATACACGGCTCTACGTGTTATCAGTGTCTGTGATATGGTGTAATATTGAAGCCCTAAAAAAATTGCGCTTCAAAATGATCAAGAAGTGCCTCAAAAAAGTAAAAATCTTTGAGTGACCGGTTTTACCCTACTCGTTTTCCCCAATAGACTGTAGTGTTATGAAAACCGTCAGGCGAACGGTTTTCAAAATTTGTAATTCCAATCATAAATATCTTGATAATCAGACAGGCGATCGGCTTGTAAAAGTCATGGGGTTCCTGACTGACCTAAAGGTTTATAATTATCATTGCATCATGAGCTAAATCCAGAATTTTATTTCAGAATCTGAGACAAAGTTACCGGATCCCTTTAAGGTAACATAAAATTAGCGAACATGTTTCCCTTGAAATCACAATTGATCAGGTTTTCATGATCAGTGGCATGTCAAATATACTAAAAACAATTGCATTACATATGAGGGTTCTTAAAACAAGTCTCTTCTTAATGGTTGAAATTTGAAAAGAAAATTCCAAAAACCTGTGCAATTTCGATGAGAATATCTGTGACATTTCTAAATGGTCCGCAATTATCCACAGGTTGCCACTGGCTCTGGGTAATACCATCGCCGATACACAGAGCCCGTCCAATCGGTTCATTAACTGTTCGGTATAAAAATGAAAATACACATATATTTATTATATCAAAAGCACACTGGCAAACAATTATTACCAGATACAATAAAGAAGGGGACATACTAATGAAGTAAAGAAATTCCGTCTATGATTAAAATTTCCTCAAGTAATTCATGACTCTGGAACTTTTCAAAACATTCAACTACACTTGCGGATCTTGAATATTATTGTGGTCGGAGGGCTGGAGGTTTCGGATTCCTGCATTCATTGTATACGTGACCCTCGCTTTAATTCATGTATTGATTTCATGAACACAGTTTAGGGGCTTGAATATCTATGAGGAGGGGCTTTTAGACCCTAAGCCCCTATCTTGATTCGCTAGTGTTCAATAATGGAGTAAAAACAAATTACATCGGTTGAAAATCGTGGTATTAAAGCTACTTTTGAATTGATATTGCGATCTAATGAGTCATTCTCGATCGCGCAGTTGCCATTCATTAAAGGGAGTGTATCATGGCAAATACTGGTTAACGCCGTCTACGTCTTTTTTGGACAACTGCACGTAAACGAATGTACTTGATTAACTGGGTCAGCGCGCTAGCGTTCGCGAAACAGACCGAAGTTTTCCCCACGCTTCGGTTTCGCGTACGTTGCACGCATGTGGTGAATACTGCGGTCGCTTCGTCCGTAGTCGTATTATACCCGATTGGGCCCGCGCCATATCTGAACAAGCTAATAGGGAAATTATCATATTGATCGTACGCTTCCCCAAATTAAAGATGAACGAAAGACCCTCAAAACAAACCTTGAGTAGTGTTGAATGGACACATTCCTGTTGAATTTGCCCATGTTCCGTTTTCACCCACCGGAAATTCGACTTTTTCAAAGCGAGGAGATATCCAGGAGATATTTTGGCAAATAGCTACACAAAAAGAGTGAACACAAATTATTTAAAAAAGGTCTCTAACAAACTTCAACTCTATGTTTGTTTATTTGATTTAAAGGGAATTGCTGCAAATCGTGCAGGTATTCTTTACAAGAAATGGCCTAGGCTAAGGAACAGTAAGGAACAGTGGCGTACGCAGGATTTTTTCAAGGGGGGGGGGGGGGGTTAACATTTTGTAATCGGGCCGAAAATTTCACAACTACTCAGCCAGCCGCCGAATAAGCGGGAAGGGGGGGGGGGGGTAAGAGGACACTATTTTATTCATTTTTTTGTCTCGAAATTTGAAAAATTGACATTTTTCTTCGTTTGGGGGGGGGGGAGGGGTAAGGTCACCTTTTTTAGGTCAGCCATGGGCATGATTTTTTATTGATTTTTTATAATTAAAAAAACAACAACAAATAAACAAACAAAAAATCTAAGGGTGGGGGTGGGGAAGGGGGGTTTTAGGGGGGGGGGGTTTCCTACAAAATACACACTGACAAATACCAAAGGGGGGCGTTCAACCCCCCCCCCCCCCGTGCGTACGCGCCTGCTAAGGAAGTTTAAACATGCAGTAAGGCCAATGCGCCATAATTTAGACAGATAGGTGAGAAGGCGAATTGCCAGAATTTGTCAATGCGCAATATGTTAAAGTTGAGAAAGCGAGAAGGAGTGTATCAACAACCTGCTAAGGCTTCTTGTTTAAGCCGAGAATGCGAGACTTGTCGAACTTGTCGTCTGAAAGAAGGCGTCTAAGCCATGTTTAGCAACTCGTCTTCTTGTCTTCTCAACCTTCGTGACTTTTATCTAATAGTCTTCAACCATTTTCGTCTAAAACATGATCCGGGCCTTAACGACTTTGACAACTAGCTTTCCCGCCTTCTAGGCCCTTACAAGGTGCTTTGGCGAGTTAAATAGGTCGTATTCTCTCTGCACGTTGAAGCTTTCGTATACAATGCAGAGAACTTTGATCACTATAAATAAAAATACAAATTATTTAAAGAAGTACTTTAAAATGAAGGGCCAACAGGCCGCAGAAACAGACAACACCCGCGCAAAAATAAACACATACACACCCACCCACACATACGGAGTCGTACACGTGTGTAAATATACCAATGTATATACATTTATATATATTTATATATCCTTTACGTCAAGGGTGTCGATTTGTATCCGTGGTTGGGGGGGGGGGGGATGATAGGTGCCAAAATATTTTCGGCAATGGATCAAAGCAACCAAGGATACAAGCGTGTGGCAGGCTGCACCCCCTCCCTTCCAAGTCCCACATGGGCTTGATACCTGGATTATTATCCTCTCAAGCGCGTATCCAGGATTTTATTTTAGGGGGGCGTTAGTGAGCACGCGAAGCGCGGAAGTTTGGATGTTTCATTAAATCATTAAAGAAAGAAGACGATTCGTTGTCGTTGTACCGTTCTCGACTCTTAATCCTTGTGTGAATTCAGCCCCCCCCCCTCCCGCGCGAAGCGCGGAAGCTTTGACGTTTCATTATATTATTAGAGAAAGAAGACGATTCGTTGAACCGTTTTCGACTCTTAATCCTTGTTTGGATCAAGTTCTCCTTCTTCCGCGCGCAGCGCGGACGCTCTCACGTTTTATTAAATTATTTAAGAAAGAAGACGATTCGGTGAACCGTTCTCGACTCTTAATCCTTGTCTGAATTCAGTTCCCCCCTCCCCCTCCCGCGCGAAGCGCGGAAGCTTTGACGTTTCATTATATTGTTAGAGAAAGAAGACGATTCGTCGTACCGTTCTCGACTCTTAATCCTTGTCTGAATTTAGTTCCCGCGCGAAGTGCGGAAGCTTTGACGTTTCATTGAATTATTAAAGAAAGAAGACGATTCGTTGTACCGTTCTCGACTCTTAATCCTTGTCTAAACCTTTTTGACGTTTCATTACATTATTAGAGAAACGAGACGATTCGTTCTCGACTCTTGATCCTTTTACTTCCTACGTCCTCTTCCTTTCTTCTTTCTCTCTGTCTCTTTTTTTTAGGGGGGGGGGGGGGGGGGGGGGGGACCTCCCCCGCTCCTGGCTTCCGCCTGTATCCTCTCTGTCTTTCATTATTCCTCTCTCCCACTCTCTACTTTTTTTTGCACTTTTGCGCTTCGCGCTTAACATTTAGCTCGTTGCTTTTTAACGCTGCGGCTTTGCATTTGGCGCACTGCATTTCTATGATGCTGTTGATTGAATAAATTGAATAAATCCATCATAGAAATGCAGTGCGCCAAATGCAAAGCCGCAGCGTTAAAAAGCAACGAGCTAAATGTTAAGCGCGAAGCGCAAAAGTGCAAAAAAAAGTAGAGACCTGTACAATCATCCCCCCAATAATTCACCATCACAAAAACAAATGAAGAGAAATTAATGATGAGAGCCCGATGAGAGTAGTTAATGGTTATTACTCGCAAAATGTGTAGATGGAATTATGGATGGTCATCTTGCGAGTAATAACCATTAACTACTCTCATCGGGCTCTCATCATTAATTTCTCTTCATTTGTTTTTGTGATGGTGAATTATTGGGGGGATGATTGTACAGGCCATCCCCCCCCACCTGAAATATTGGGGGGGGGGGGATATATCCCCCATCCCCCCCGGGGGATCGACACTTATGCTTTACGTCGTGTAGTGAACAAATTGTTCATTAAATAGACATGGTCATTAGCAGGATATTTTCGTGTCCTGTTTGAACAAAAAAAGTAATGCCCTCTACGTACGTGTGAAGGCATGTAGAGGAAACCGACAAGAAACAAATAGTTACTCACTAGTCATTAGTAATATTGGTTGTATTGTTTTTAATTGACGGTTAGGGTGAGGGTTGCGGTTACGGTTTAGGGCTTGGTTAGGGTAAAGGTATCTTGCGTTTTTAAAACTACCTAGCGTACCGATGCCACACGTCCAGTTAAGTGGCGAATTCGGCATATCCCAATCCACTCCCCTTCGGAAGCCAAGTTTAAACAAATGCTTGCAATGAGTGGTATCACGAAGGCGGGACAAAACAAAATGATGACCCCTGGTTTTTCGCGTCACCTACCTGTCATCCCATCAATCTAAGGATACCCCACGTCCTTATACACAATAAATTGACTTTCACAACTACATGTATATGAATGAATTTTGTACCGTTATCTTGAACTGAAATGGTGTTTGAATCGAGAAAACCGTCCGATTCATTGGCTAGACTGTCAAGAGATAGACCAATAAGATCTTGTGTCTCCGTTGCCGTCATATTAGTCCGCTCGATGTAGATATTCATGTCAGCTTTGACGCTTCCTGGTCTTAGGGCTCTGCATACAACTGATAGACTCTTTAAACCAGAACTGGTTCGGACGCCTTGCTCCACCTTTATACAGATACAAAATAACAAATATAAAAGATAACACGTTTAATAGATATTTCCCCTTCTAAGACTGATACTCTTTTGTAACTCATTAAAGAATACGTCATAACCGTAAACCCTTCGCATGCAACATTGTGTCCATACTGTATTCATAAGAATATACTTATGATAGAATTGCATTTTTGAAAAAACTTGTAGAACTGAATGAAAGTATCTGTAGCGTAAGTGTAAAAAAGGTAATGTGAAAGAACTGAGATGACCGTTTAAATGTTTGAACGGCTTTTGCTAGGATATATTAATACATGTATATTATTAAGTTTTTATAATGATGGAAAAAAGTTGAGTACTTGTAAAGGTGAGAAATAACTTGTGAGCTTACTCGTTCTGTTGTTTCAGTTTGGACATATTGGAAGAATGTTATAGACCAAAGTGTTCCCTGAGAATAATGGTTCCCATGGTATAAAAGCCATCATATTCGAAATCAAGGCGAAAGCAAGATGTGTCCCACGCATTCCTGACCAAATTACCTGAACGTCGTTAAAGAGCATCACGGACTCAAGCCTGGTCGCACAAACAAAACATGTACCAAAGTGACTAGTCGTATATGAACCTTGTGGGTTTAAACTTACAGCTTATTCAAAAATTGTCTGAAGCAAGTTTTGTCATAATCGAATAAACAAATGCAAAATTATTTGTCACGAAAGAGCTCACAGAATTAGCTTTGACCTTAGAATGTGACCCTCGACAGCACTATAATGGGAAGGTCCCCTAAATGCATATCTTCCTCAAGTTTGTTCACAATAGCATTAATAGTTGCTGATTTATTCGTCACAAGAGAGTCCATGTTTGCAGGTAAGCGGAGGAAGAAGGCCTTCTGGATGCTTTACTCTTGTCTCAACCATGAGAAGAGCTGAGAATGTGTATGCCATATGTACGAGCAAACAGCCTTTACCAAATCCCTGCTAGGAAACTTGTTGCACAACGTACTCGGACTCTTTAATTCAATTGTCTATTCTAAACCCAAAACAATATTAGGCCAACCCTGCAGAATATCACAAGAGCGGAATAGGCCTTTTTGATACGCACCAATTACTTTTAGGATATACTTACATAGGTGCTGATGTTGAGCGCCGTTTCTTTATAGAGTTTAGACGTTTGGTCATGAAGCTCATCGCTGAATGGAATGGCAAATCTAGCGTTCAAAACTATTATATTGGTCAGATCTGAAAATGCAAACATACGTATCGAGAATCAGTGACACAGATTCAGGGGAGGGCACAGAGGAACGCCCCCCCCCCCCCGAGCCAGAGGAAAGGGGGGGGGGGAATTCTCCTGATGAAGAGCTTATAGCAAACAAAAAATACCCAAATACAAGTAACTTAAACATAACTTTAAGAAAATGTCTTTAAAAACGAATTCGATATTAAATCAGTATTTGTATGAGAGCATTTCTCTCATACTGAACACATAATGTACCCAGTATAATCACGATCGTTTTGTTTTACGCGCTTGTATGTCTCAATTGCGATCTAATTTTTGTTGTAGTTATTTCTTACTTTCACGCGTAGCATTAAACATAACATTAATATCTTAAAACTTAAAAGAAATTCATTTTCTGTATATATATTTTTTTCCTATAGAAGTTTGATTAAAGGTAATACAAAGTTTTGAGAAATTTTGAAAATTGGGTGGATCGTGATTCTTACAATGTTAATATATTTGGATGCCCCTGTGGATGTATTATAAGCACTAGACAATTTTGTATGTGGTTTATTTCAAGCAAAGATTTTACCTTTGACATATACAGATGCTCGCATCGTGTCTAAAGTTTCTTCATTTCTCCCCGAGCCTCGGCAGAAGTAATACCCGATGTCACTTGGAGTGACAGACATGATTATCAAAGGATTCTGATTTCCACTGTTAGGCAAAAGGACATCATCTTTGTACCAGTGGTATCGCTTGGCATTGTTGAAACTACATGTCAGCTCCACATAAGCATTGGTGTTGACTATCTGGCTTGACGGATGGACAGAAACCTCCAAAGGAACTGTATTCGAGGTAGGAATTAGAAAATATGACGGCGAATGAAGTAATTTTGTTTTCAATATTGATGATGATAAAGATGGTTAAAAAAATAATAAAAGTAATGATGATGATAATTATAAGTTAGAGAAGGAGAAGAAGAGGGATGATAATTTCCCCCCAAAAAACAGTGAGATCAATTATGATCACAATAAAACCACGACTAATGATAATAATAGAAATTGAAATAATACTAATACTCTACTACCAATACTATTCATAAAAATGATGATAATAACAGTTACATATATATATACGTAAATACCAAGGGGGTGGTAAAGGCACCTACAAAATACTATTATGATTCCTACACTGGCTAGCCTAGCTGCCCTAAGGCCCTGAAAGCATTCAAGGAATAAATTCCTAACAAAGTGATAGTGACAAATGCCTCGTCAAAAGACAGTGGTGCTGTCCTGAACCGCAATCCATGTGATCTCAAGGAGGTAGTATAAGCTCATTGGTGATCCTAAGTCCGGTGATTAGATTTAATTCATATAATAAGCAAGTAATATTTTGTTTACACTTTTTATGAAATCTTTTAGGGTAAGGGTTAGGGTTAGGATAAGGTTTAGCATTAGGGTTAGGGTATGCAATAAATCCCCCCTTTACAAAAATCCTGCAACAGATAAATACCCCCCCCCCCAGAAAAGGGAAGTATTTTGATATTTTTATTTTATATCCAGATATGATGAAAAGACATTCGATTTACTTATTCAGAAATGAAAAGGTTTCGTTGCCATTTAAGAGGGTAAAACATTGTGTAAAAACATCGCCTTTCCAAATTTTGATTCTTATTCACCCGTCTTTCGAAACGATGTGAATCATGGATTTGCAAAACGTAATTTCTGTAAGATGCATACAAGTAAATCGAAACATATGACTTACGAGTTGGTTCATCACAATGGATCCCCTCATAATGATCTTGGCATTCACATTCGTACTGCCCTTGTCCACTAGGACGACAGACACCACTGACGCACGGGTTTCGTTGGGTGCAAGGATCAGCGATACCTGTCAAAAGTTAATTTTAGTAAAATTGTAGTAGCATAGAACTTACGGATGAATGCTTGCAGTTTTATCCTCAGTTTCCTGGTTACCAGTGTCTAGACATAATGTTATGGTGTGTTTACTTTTATGAAGGGTTACTCTCAAAGAAGAAAAACATGTTAAGACGCAACCACTGACAACAGCTTTTGAGCTCTCAACGAAAGTGACGTGCGAAAAACTCGAGATAACTATTTTCCCATAGTTCATTTTTGTTAGAGGCTCATAATTCCGAAACGAAAATTACTCATAACTGAAGGTTCGTTATTCTTAAAATTAAATAGGGTTTATTCAACCCAGAAGATTCGTAATTCCGAAAATTATACAAGGTTCATAATTATGAAAATTAAATGTGATTCAATGCTGCGAAGGTTCGTAATACTATAGACGGGCTTTAACAGACGAGATTGGGTTCTAATTTAATTTGGAATTATGAACCTTCGGAAATATGGACTCTGTTTAATTTTTTTTGCAATAACGAATCCTATAAAAACTTCAGAATGATGAACTCTTTTCCATTTCCAGAGTTTTAGAAAATTGGAAAAATGCCATGTTTACCAAAATAACGCATTTCGCTGGAGTTTATATATGTGTATGTGAATAGTATATATTTACATAAGAAAGGTTCATACTTTTGACGTGTCATTGTATGTGTCTTTGTATAGTGAAAATGGCTTCCTAAATTCCCATTCGATTTAGGTGTACCGCTTACTTATTTCACAGTTCGGGCCGAGAAATAGATCCATGCAAATACACTGGTAACCGATTTTATTTTGCTGACAAGTACCTCCATTTAGACAGGGTGTTGGGAGACATGCGTTCCCTGAACACAGAAAAGAGAGCAATGTTAAGAGTTAGAAATGGAAGTAATCATCATGGGAATTATTCCAGAGATCCACGTGGTTGTTCATTATATTTGAATTTATTGGTGAAAATGCGGTTCAACAAAATGTTATTGGATTAAAAAAGAACTACAAGTCAAAAAAAAAGTTTACACCTAAAACATGATTTCATAATTCATCTATAAACATTAAATTATTATACATCTTAAGAAGAAGTGTTTTATCCAAAATCATGTAGTATCATTTGTGTGTGGAATATGTTCACGCTTGGATAAACAGGAGGAATTGTTTGCGAGAGAGCAAAGTTGCTTATGTGAAGTTTGAATAAAACACTTGGGATTTGGGTATTAATTTGGTTATTACAAATCCAAAGACCAAAAATTAATCACGCCCGTATCAAATATCAAGCATTTGTGTGCACGTGGGTGTGCGTTACTTTGCTTCTGATATTTTGCGCCGACTGAGCCAGCCGCTGAATAACCGGGTTGAGGTGGGGGTAAAACGCTTTTTTTTCTTTTCTTTTTTTGAAGTATGTTGAAAAATGTATTCGAATTATGCTAAAAAAAGCTCAAATTATGCCAGAATTTTGCTAAAAACAGCCAAATTATGCTAAAGGGTCAAAATAATGCTTCGTTTCCACTATGTTTCTCGGCGGCCACGGCAGCCCCGTTTGCCCGAAACGTTGTGCGCCGTGGGATCTAGGCCAATTTTATTTCTGGATTCAAGTTTTGTTAGGTCTTGCCAAGTTTTCTCACGGTCTACCACGGTATCCATGAGGGGCCGTGGGGGAAAGGAGATGCTGAGTCCCGGAGGCTCCAAGGCGCACTACAGTTCGGCCCGCGTTTTACCACGGATGCCAGAACGTTCCCTTTCGGCCCGTCACGTTTTGTTGGGGTCCCTCACGTTTCTCAAGTTCTGATCAAGGTCCGACACGTTTTTCACGTTCTGTCAAGGCCTTCTAGGGATAAAACGTGGACGCCGGGCAGCTTTGGAGCACGTTTGTGCCCACGGTACGAAAAGAAGTCCTCCGAAACAAAAGCAATCATTTTATCCTGACATTTCAACGAGACAACATCATAAATGCACAAGATGAAGAAGATTTATTATGTGCATGTTTGCTGGGTGCATACATCAGGTCTTGGCATCAGCAACAAGAAGGCTATCATCAGTTGCAGAGATGGAAGGCCTGGGCCCTGTTTCATAAAACTTGATATCAATAACAAGTTACAAGGTATTGTAATTATAAGCTACTGAGATCATAGCTGAGAGCAAATTTGTCATAGAAATTTAGCAGTTGTTATAGATAACAAGTTTTATGAAACGAGCCCGAGGGTGTAGCAGGCAGGAAGAAGGCGGATGAGAAGGCCAAGATCCATGTGAGTGCGCGCAAAGGGTTATAGGAAGACAGCAGCAGTTGGGCCACTATTCATCATTTCTCACTTGAGAGCTCCCCACCGAAGATGTCAACGCCTTCCAGAACTATCTGAGGATGCTTCCAGACCTCTTCGACGAGATCCTGGGAAGAGTAACACCAGCAATGAAGAGAAAATACACACGAGTTCTGCTTTGCGCTCCTTCTAGCAGGTGCATCTTCTTCAACCTCCTCCGCCTCAGGTTCAGGTTCAGGACTTTCCAGTTCAGGGACCGGGTCATAAGCATCAGCACGCTTCCTCATCATCTGGCGGCGGTGAACGGCGAGGATCTTCAGGCTGCCCCTGCCCCTCTACTGGTGGGGATGCAGGACTGGGAAGCGGGGGGGGGGGGGGCTTCGTACATCTGGGTTTCTTCGGTGGCATAGATTGGCCTTCTTTTTTTTAAAGCTTGGTCATCTCTCTCTCTCTCCGTATTGTAGATGCAGTAATGTGTCGTCGATTGCTCAGACTCGAATAAAGCTCCCCTGCCGGGCCCGGATTTTATTTATTCCCTCCCAGGCATGAAGCGCCGTGTCAGAGAGTAATATAACGCAAAAGGGTGTCTAACTTTAAACCCCAAACGAAATTTGAACTAACCTGTTGTTGTGCCGGGTGTGGTACCTAGTGTGGTCCCGGGTGTAGATCCTGGTGTTGTTTCAGGGGCTGTATTCGGTGTTGTACGTGGTCTTGTTCCAGGTGTAGTAGCTTGCGTTGTACCCGGTGTTCTACCTGGGGTTTCTCCTTGTGTTGTTTGAGGTGGTGTTTGAGCAGGTGTACTGGAAATAACTAGGACGAATTAAATGCATTCTATTTCTTAATAATTGAACTAAATGAATTTGTGTAGAAAATCAAGAATCAAATAACACATTTCCTAATATTAAACAAAAAATCTCTGTGAACATTGGTTACTCCATCATCCTTCTTTTACTATGTCTTATATTTGAAAATAATGTTGTGTGCAAAAGTAGTAAAAACATCATACCCTTCCAATGAAAACCAATCTAAATTTCAATATTGTGAACAAAGTGAACTTCTTTTTAGTACTTTTTATGTCAGTTCCTCGCTTGTTTATCATTGATAAATGTTACAGTTAGAGAAACATTTATACAATACCTGCAGTGTTCTCTCCAACAAGAATTCAATAGCAGAACATGATAAGTCTTAGATATTTGGAATGCTTAATTTATGCTGAAGTTAAAACAAAGTGGTATCCTATCAATCAACCGATTGCAAGAATATTCAATTCTGACAGAGTAATAATTTTCTTTCTCCGACCCTGTTTCTTCTATTTTTCTTCATGAATTACTCTTATCTACTATTATATCCCTTATTGTAAGATTGTTGCATTAGGTGTGTACACAACAAGAAAAAGAATATTTTTTTTACTGTAAAAGACGTTTCCTGCCGACTAGATCGGAATAGTTCATTTTTTATCGATGACGTCACGCTAGGGAAAAAAGGTACTATGCGTGACGTCACAATAAAAAACGCATATTCCTGAACAATGCGTTTTTCCAGCGAGCGCGTACATGATTTCAAATGCCTCCGCGCGCTCAACTCCCGCGGTGTCACGGCGCTCAAGCCATATGCAACTTACGCTGTACGATATCTGCACTACACTAGCGCCAGCTAAACATATTTACATCCTTCAATGTTTCATTCGAGCCGTGCAATTTTCTTTATTTCTTTTCGATCTGAATGTAGATGTTAATGTGAGTATAAGCTTCATATTATTACAGAAGTGTACAAGGAATAATACAGATGGAAGGGATATATAAAAACAAATATAAAATAACTCATTCTCGGAACAAGCTACAACTATTCGCACTCAGGAACACCATTAGTACTTTTCTCCCTTGGGCCGATGGCCCTCGGGAGAATAGTACTATAGTTGATGTTCCTTTGATGCGAATAGTTTCAGCTAGATCCTCGAGTGTCATTGTATATTTGTATACTATCTAACCAGACATAGCCGTTCATATCACCTTCCACCTTTGGTACAACTTTCGCTAATAATATAGTTACTTTGGAAGGAACTTCCAACACACTTAGTTAATACGGACTCTCTTTGTCCTATTTAAAATGTACAAATCACCAAAAGTCATTTGCACAGTCCAGTTGTCAGGGTTTCCATGTTGCTAAACAATATCAAATGTATAAGCTTTAAATATTACTTTTATATTAGAAACTGCAAATTGAAATACTATCTCAATTATGATAGACAAGGGCCCGCACAAAAACCAAGTCCGATTTGGGATTGTATGTTATTTCTTTTTCTTCATACTTACGATACGTTAGCAGATAGGTTTCAAGATAACAAAATTGAGAAACATTTTATACATTCTTACTAGAAAAAAAAAATCTTTTTGGTGATACACTTTAAATGCATATCTATCTAAAACGATTCTTTCTTGAATAGTGCAACATTCCGTGACTCCTAATTCTGGCTTCCTCTTTAAGTACATACTTATTCATTGGCTTCTACCCTTTTCCTTTTTTCGTATTTTCATGAATTTGTCTTCAATGATATTTCTTAATATTCTACTTTAGATTTTGCATTATGCTCCTTAGGTATCTTATGTAACTCGGTACGATTTTCCCCTCCTAATACTTGTATTAAAATCATGTATCTATTAAACCATCTATCTATCTATTCAGTTGAACCATCAACCTGACCCCAAACCGACTCCATGCCATCGATTTCATTGGCGGCTAAAAATAATCATTACGGTGTCAGTATTTGTTCGATCACGAGTCGGTCCGGAGTTGGTTTTATTGAGCGATGCAGTGACATCCAAAATAAAATATTTTCAATTAAGATAAATCGATGATAATCACATACTCACTTGATTTTGGAAATGGAAATTATCTCAACCTCCATTTTTGAGACTGCTGTAACCCTTTGTGTTGGATAATTATCATGCTGTAACTGGTAAATTACCAGTTATTACTGCTTCAGTACACAGAGCTTTAGATTACACGAATATCTTTTTAAAAAAAATTAATTCAACACTCACTTGATAGTTTAATGGAAATTATCTCAACGTCCACTTGGAGACTGGAATAATTATTTGCTCCTATGACAGCAAACCACATCTCATTGCTATCTACATAGACATCATCAGGAGCGTAGTTTGTATATCCAAGAATAGTTGTGATGACAGACTGTATGTCAGACGGGTCGTTCCCTGTCCCTATTTGGACTTCATCATTAATATAAAGATATAAATGTTGGAACTCAACTCGAAATCCATTCGTAGCGTTTGTTTTGAGCAAGATTGCATTATAAAATCGTGTTGTGTAGGTCCGTGGTAAAGAAATGAAATGTGATTTGCCTTCCTGGAGATAAGTTGCTGAATAATCTGTAAGGGGAAGTAAAACGAATTAAAAAAAAGTCACCTGAACATGATTCTTTTCAGTTCTTCAACAAGGAATCGGAAGATAAGATTCGTCATCTTGAACTGAGAGCTGATCTGGGAGCCTTTACCGACATAAAACTTGTATTATCCATACTGCTTGACCCCCTAATTTACTTAGAGGAAAGGACATTCCCCCAAAATGTATAGACCTAACTGTATATATCAGAGTTCCATAAACAGAGCCCACTGTCGGGTCGCTTTTTAATCCATCTACCACATGCGAGAAATTTCGCTAGTAGAATTTATGACATGACATTATATACACAAAAACTACCAACTTTGAACGGGAATCGGTTGATATCAGACGCCCCTTTAACAAATGGGAGCATTTTCCCTTTAAATCATATAGACACAATTTGTAAAGAAAAATTCCCTTTTCATTACAAAATATAGAGACTGGCCTGTCCTAATATGCAGACATTTATGTTTTCTAAATGATGATATGTGGTGCTTGGACAATACTTTATGTGGTATGTTGAGGCAATTTACGGGGATTAACCAGACAGCTACACTCTGCCTGCCACACTTTTTTTTATTAATGAATTTGATGGTACTTCCAGGGTCAAAATCGTATGGTATTAAATGGGTTACCATTTAGGACCAGTATTTGGCTTCCACAAAGATGTGAAAAGTCGATGAACAAAATTGGACCCCCTAATAGGCCAAGAGCACAAAAGCCATAACCCCAGTGACTAAATTATCCATTAAAATTCTACGTGACAGACAAAATAAGTCTGTCTTTAAAACTGTGTTCATCGTTGAACTGCAATACACTAATAGAATTATGATATTCATAATGAAGTGGAAAAGAATATGAGATAATGGGAGTTTCAAGTCTTCATATTTCCGCACCCGTATTCCAACACCATGTTTGTGTACCTGGGCCCTGTTTCATAAAACTAGTTATTAAATAACAAGTTATTATAACTGTAAAAAGCTACTTAAATCTTGACATTTGATTGGCTGAGGGCAAATTTATCATAGTATCTAAGAATTAACATATGCTAGAAAATCATGAAGTACAAAAAATACCTGTATTATTTATAAAGAACGCATTACTAAATATAATTTGTTATTGACTTACTGCACGGTAATTCATCCTCGTAATGTTCGCAGTGGTAAAGTCCATCGCAAAGGACAGTCGGTGACACGCTCATGTTAGAGCTTGAACAGGCAAATAAGGCTGGTAGAAGATAGAAGATGGGGAGAAAAATACATTATGTTTAGCTCATAATGCTCTGAAATGTTGCAATTGAATATACTATGTTTCTTTAAATACTTTCAGTAATTAGGCGCGTCAAAATTCACCTTCTTTATACTATTATTTGTGGTAAAACTGAAATCATGGATTATCTTCATCAGTCGACAGGTATTGAATAATTTTCATTTTATAACCAGTAAAACATCAGTTATCACTGCTTCAATAGACATAACTTTAGATTATACCGATATTTCAAAAGAAAATTAATTAAATACTCACTTGACAGGTCAATGGAAATTATTTCAACGACCATTCGGAGCTCGGAGTAACCATTTGCTCCTATGACAGCTAACCACATCTCATTTGTTTCTGCATAGACATCATCAGGAGCGTAGTTTGTATATCCAAGAATAATTGTGATGACAGACTGTATGTCAGACGGGTCGTTACCTGTCCCTATTTGGACTTCATCACCATAATAGAGATACAAATCTCGGAACACAACTCGAAATCCATTCGTAGCGTTTGTTTTGAGCAAGATTGCATTATATAATCGTGTTGCGTAGGTCCATGGTAAAGATATGAAATGTGATTCGCCTTCCTGGAGATAAGTTGCTAAATAATCTGTAAGGGGAAGTAAAAA